CTCTCTCTACGAGAGAGAGATTTTGAGGATGTTCAATTTTTAATATTTGAAACTGACATTTCGTTTCTTTTATGGAAATAACGTACAATTAGGGTGAATATAATTAGACCGAAAATAATTGAATAATTAATGTCTGTTACAATTACGAAAAAGTGGTTGTATTTTTAGTTCAATTAAACTAATTGAACATTATTGACCTTTTTAAAAATTGATTAATTATTAACCTTTTTAAACTGATTCATTAACCCTTTGATTTTATTGGATTTCAATTTTGATTTAACGTTATGTATACTTTCATCGCCTACTTATAATTAGTCTAAACCAAAAAAAAGGTAATTAATTTTCATATATTTCTTGCCCTATTTTTTCTGTTTCGAAAAATTCAACACAAGAATAACAATTCACGCGCTTCTCCAATACGAATCTAAGTTTTTAGAACAATAAACGAGTGTTTATTCCGCAGAACGTTAAATTTGTATTCTACGGCGTGACGTTACTTATTGAAGTTATAAATATTAGTTACACATTTGAAAAAAAAGCGACATAAGTCTCAATATTATCGGTCCATGTAAGTTTACTCCGGGTCTCTGAAAGCGACATGAATAATTTGTATAATCTTAGACTTATGTTGTTTTCGCAATGATTAATTTGCAGTGAATATATGTATCATATGTATAACATTAAACAAACGGTGATTTGAAAACGATTATCGCTTCATGATGCTCTCTGAAAAACGTCCCATAGAATGTGGAGTATTCTCTGTCATGGTAACACGTTATGATACATTGAACAATTAACTCGAAATATATATTATACGTCATGAAGCGCAAAATATGTAATATTAGTCCAGTCAAATTATGACAAAAACATGCTCCAGCGGGAAAAAATTCCTATACGCAATTTTTTTTTTATCGTATAGGGGGGGTATAGAAAAGCTTAACTATAGGTTTTCGGGACAAAATAGCTGGTGCTTTTTGAAAAAAGTAAAAAAAACCAAAAAAACGGTTTTTTTTATAATAACTCGGCTTCTAGTGAAGTAAAATTAATGAATAATAGCTCATTTTGTAGGTTTTTTCATGCTCTACAAGTGACTTTAATAACTTTTTCGTCTACGATGGATATTTCTCGAGTTATTGAGAGGTCAGCGCGAGCCATCACGAGGAACGTGCTGCAGACGTATACGATTCATTGCACGTTCGTTCTCTCTCTCTTTGCGTCGCTCTGTACGGCGTTCTATTTTTTCTTCAATAACTCGAGAAATATCCACCGTAGACGAAAAAGTTATTAAAGTAACTTGTAGAGCATGAAAAAACCTACAAAATGAGCTATTATTCATTGATTTTACTTCACTAGAAGCCGAGTTATTACAAAAAACCGTTTTTTTGTTTTTTTGACTTTTTTCAAAAAGCACCAGCTATTTTGTCCCGAAAACCTGCAGTTAAGCTTTTCTATACCCCCCATACATGATTAAAAAAAAATTGCGTATAGGAATTTTTTCCCGGTAAAATCATAATTTGACTGGACTATATTGTCAGAGTACTGAATTATCGAAAAGAATACCATAAATGTGCATGAGGGCGAACATGCAAGCGCGCGCGCATTTACTTACTTGAAATCGGCAAATAACACAGCACCAGGACTAGGGTTTTTGCCTGGCACATATCCTGGCAGCGGAAACTCAACGGAGGCATTTTTGCTTTCTACGAAGTCAGACAGGCGGAGAGGATCGCTTCTACGACAAGATTGATATCTGTAGCTCCCTACGTAGCGAGATAGAGGTGAAGGCGGAGGGCGAAGGCAAAGGCGAAGGCGAGGCGAGGCCAGGCGAAGACACAGCGAGGCGAAGAAAGAAGACGGA